TCTGTGACTATCTAGCACATTGGGCTCCTCCCTGACCTGGGCCACACCTTGTATAGGGCTCCTGTCCTCCTTTGTTACTTGAAAGATCATTGATATATTCCCCTTGATGAATAGCCATTCAGCTCAGTATTTACCCGTGGAATTCAGCCACCTTTTCCACGGAACCTTCTACCCAAAAAAAAAAATGGTAGCAATGGAAACTGCGTGCGCGGGAAAAAGTCTCAAAACCCTGCAGCCCTAGCCAGGCGAAGCCTAGACACCGGGACCACATGAGGTGCGCATATTCATCTATATCTCTCTTCTTTGTAAAGTATGAGGCCAACTTGATCCAATCCGCCATCTCCGTATCGGCTGGCTTTTCCTCTATGATCATTGGTAGGTGATGAGTGGGGCTCCGACCCTACCATCTAATCTGATCGTGGCTAGCTTCATGATAATGGTGATAGGGAGATGTGTTGATAGATGAAGACGATACAGACTGCGAAGGCGATTGGGAATCTCGTCGAAGTGAGGACTTTGGTACTCAATCTCGGCCCTGCAGACTCTACAATCAGAGCTGGAGGTTCGTAGGGGATACCACTTACAGGTGTTTAGAATGATCCCCCTTCTCGAATCAAAGAATCTGTAAAGCGCACAACTTGTCAGCTGGAGCAAGTAGCTCCGATCCATGATGAATAGATTCGAAGCTCCCCAAAAGATATCTCTTGCTTTAGATGTCAGGTTGATCTCGAAAATTTAAAATTCAAGATATGCCGTTACTAGAGTGGATCCGTAGGAAAACATCAATAAGTCTTTATGGTATTGGTGATTGCTTGAAGCCTACCAGGGCAATCAAAGCCAACTTTTGTGTATCCTATCATTCTAGGGATTATCAGTAGTCTGAGACGGATACGAAATCGCCACTGAGGCAACGAAAATGACTGTGCCAAGGGTACTCGGAGCGTTACCCATGTGGCAGAATAAAGCTAAAGTTACCTTCATTGTCACTGTAAGCATGGGCTAGATTCAGGCACCTCTAGATGTGGATAAGTAGCACGGGAGACTTGCAAGCAGTTCACTTCCCCATAGATAAATTCTAGCTTTACATTTCAATCATGCAAATACCCAATTGCTTTCTACATTCGAGCTGTAATATCAGCGGGGTCGATGGTAGTGGCGTTATATTTTCCGCACATATGTTGACCTTTAATTTCTCTCCGGGCTTGGGCTTGACATCTCGAGGAACAAAAGACAATTGGCGAGCGGTCAAAGGCTATTATAGGCTTAAGTAGTAAGATTCTAAACTAAAGAAAAGATTTCTCGAAATATACGAATCTATATAAATGCATATGGGTATTCATCAGCTGTCCAAATAAAGTTATTAACATGAAGCCTCTTGTCCCTGGCCGTCTATAGCCCAAGGGCATCGTGTGAACACCAACATCTACGACAAACCTTTCGAATCCTTCTATGACAGGAAACTGGGGAACCTGTCCTGTAGCAGGTGAAGAATATTTACGGGTATCGACAACTCAGTAGAAACAACTTGATTCTTTTCTTCCGAACATCGGTCCCCGGAAGTTATTACTTCTCTATGTGGACCGTGCGTTTAACTAGCTAATTTAAGGTAATCTATTATTGGACCCCATATATACAAATGTGATCCAAACACCAAATAAGCCTTAGATACTTCCTATTTTCTAACATTCTTTGTCACATACAAGAGTCTTTGAAGGGAAATTGGCCAGAAATAAACTATTTCGGGATCTTGTTATTGCATTATCTAAGCAAAGGTCCTGATAATTCTCAGTATGCTCGCTTAATGAGATACATATTAAGGTTGAATGGCAGATGCTTCAACTGTCGTGTCTGTTTGAAACTAGTCGTTGGAGTCCTAGCAGTGATATTGTATCAGCCTACTGGTAAATGGAGACCAATGTATACACGACCACTAAAAATATCGGGGAATCACATTGGGAATAAATGAATCCTGTATGAACTACAACTCCTTTTCAGCTTCATCCCTCTCAAATTATACTCCAATGGAATTTTCGATATTTCCGAGCTACCTGAATTCAAACTTGGAAAGAAACTTCTCCTCCAACACTGTTAATTGATCATAATGCCTGGGATGGTATGTAATTAATATATTATCCACATATACAATCATGATTAGCCTTCTATTTTGAAATAGACCCAGGGAATTAGGCACAATTGACAGCCTGATCTCGAGTGCTGCACTCTTGCACATTGTATACCAGTCAAGTGCTGAAGGTTTCAATCAAAACATGCCGAGAACTTGAAGGCCATCTCTACGGGGTTCGAAACCTGATGGACACATTGGATAAAATTTTGTTTCAATCCGTGAGCTGCTATAATCGCAGCAATTTCTCGGTTCTTTTATGCTGTCGCTGTAGCTGCCTAAGTACCTTCTTTGGTCAATTTTAGATCGTTTCTAGCAACTATTCGCACCTTCAATGAAATTTAATATCCATCAGGTCTTAATTTATTTGTTAACATCCGCATTTTGAGTAATGGTGCATTGATTTGCTCCACTTAACGATCACCTGGTTCACTTTTTTGTACAAACGACACAGCCTCTATTTGAATCAGTTTTCCTGGCTCTTCGAATTTTTGTTTAATTCATTTTTTATTCAGATATTGAGCTATGATAAAGGCTCTTCGGATTTTGCCGCCCTAAATCCTGCGTTATGTTCATGTTTAAGCATCTCTTTATGGTTTCGTGGTGGAGGTGGTAGCTCGGAGCCGTAAAATCCCATAGACTTCACCATACTCTTAGATGCCGCGAATTCCATCTGGAAATAAGGATTTTGATGGTTTCCAACCAAAAACTAAACTGTCCTATTCTTTGGCTTTCTCTTTCCTTCGATTATGTTTTTGTATCTACCTCAGAACTTGACATCCCCAAACCTAATGCAGGCATCTGTGGCTCGTCTTCTATCTCCGGTCATCCTTTGGGTAATAAACCATCATCATAATTGAGAGTCTAGAAGAATTTAACATCGAGACTTAACGCTTTTACTTCTCGTTTCATACTCTCTCGCTTGGTAGCGAATGAGAGGATATTGGTAACACACGTCAAGAGTCGTTGAGGCATGAGGAATACTACCTGCCATAATTCTTACATGTTTCGTGTTCCTTTTTAGAACTAGCAACAAACCCTTACTCAATGTCTTCAATTTCAGAATCTAACTCTATCTCTTGGAATCTTTCTTTGCCTCCAATATCACCTGTCTATGGTAGCCTCAGTCCTCTTAGGAAATCAACTGGCTCATCGTATTCTAGCGCTCTAATATCTATTTCACAAGGATCATAAAATAGCTCGTCGTGAGGTACAATGTCCCGTGTCGGTATCACCTTTTCTTTGCTCGGCATCTATACCTGGTAAATATTTGTCGAGTCATAGCCAACCGAGTACCCGATAGAGCTCTAGAATGCATCGTTTTTAGTCGAGGTATGTTATTCCAGAATACATACGCTCTACAGCCGAAAGGACACATATGACTGGAACCGGTTTCTATCCAGTGACTAACACGACCTGCGAATTCCGCCAAATTTTTGAGGTAGTCGATTATAAATTTATGTACCACATTTTAATGCTTCCGAATAAATTGAATATGGCAATCCAGATGCTTAAACATGGACCGACTGATCACCACTATCCGCTTACCTGCGGCTCTAGACTTCTCTTTAGCTCTGAAATTTCTGGTACCGTCATCTCCCGCATGATTCCTTCCCCAACAGCAAAATCTACCCATTCCTTGCCGTTAAAGACTGCCTCGCTATCCTAGATGACTATCCGCAAGCGCCCGTGAAATCAATTTTCTATCATCTTTAATTGTTTGATACTCGTCCGGCACGCTACCTTTTTACCCCTATGAGTATTGAGTTTTCCACATCTTCATACGTCCTATTTTGCATGGGTGACGCAATTGTATCTATTATATCCCGGCTCGAATGATACAATATCCTTGTTCGTGCGATAAAAGATAGCTACCGCAGGTAATAAAGACTCGACATCTGATCATGGTGATATGATCTTATGCGCCTTCGCAAACGCACACGTCGTGCATTCTGCCACGCGTGGAAACGACATTGCGCAATCAATTTCGATTCCTTCACTATATTCCTGAGGCTTGCTGATGTTGCAGTAGCTGGCGTATCCCATAATTATGCGCGCCTTAGCTGCAGTTATCCTGCTAGTACGCTTCTTCATACTAGTGCTCTTCGTGTTATTAAACATGGCAGAATTGGGATACGGTTCTTCGAAGATCCACTGTGATACAATTTAATATATATGGCAGAACGTCATCAGATCACCATCCGTCCCTAGTACCTCTTAATTCTTACTACTCCTGTTAATATTCGCATTTATTGATTTGTCAAGCAAAACACAACTGGTCATAAAACCTGGTATATATGCCACATTACTAAGTCAAAAATATTCGCCAGACATACTCGACTTGAATGTCAATACAGCATTCCTATGGCGCTTTACTGGATACGCGCATCTTCTGGTGTCTAAGAGATCACCTGAGTCAGCTATATACGTTTCCTCAAAATCACGATCCGAGTTGGTGACGTGAGTGACGGCTCCCATATCGATAATCTATTTTTAAACAAATGAAAGCTATCGTCGGCCGATATGACACTCTATGTGAGCTTACAAGTCTACAGTAAATAGTAAGATAGCTTACAAATGCGCAGATCTAAAGCTTACGACTTGATGCCAGTTGGCACTGTAGTAAATATTTTCAACTACAGACCCATGTTTTATACGTAAGAAATATGGTCCGTGCATCACAATCGACCGTCACTCGTAACTGCTTCCACAGGAAATTGGTGACCGTAGCGTGGTCCTTACTTTTGTCGTTGATTCCGATTGCTCGGCTAAAGAGATATAATATCGTTTTGTCAGAATGGCTGCCGCATTTTGAAAAGTTGTTTTTTATTAAGGAAATAATGACCCCTCAGTCATTGAGGTTGTAAAGTGCATTGATTCAAGTAACTACCGAGGTAAAACTAAGTACAGAATTTCCAGTCACGTGTAGATCAGCAACGTGGCCCACTTGATAGCCCCAATTATCCTAAATTCCAACATTTTTTAGTTTTATCAAACACATCACTTTTTCCTATTCAAACACTTTTTCTTAATGATAGGTTGAGATAAAAGCACTTACCCCAAACATTCGTATTTACAGAAAAATACTGCTTATCGTTGAAATTGGGTTCACTTAACATATTTTCATTGTCAGTTTCGTTCTCTTTGCAATTTGCTGCCGACGCCTTTCAATGACCCTGGATTTCCTAAGATGTATCTCGTTTGAATTCCACGGATGCTTCTTCTTATCTTTGATGGTTCCTAAATTCTTCGGTTGATTCAGCCGAAAATGAAATTTGTCTTTCATCCTTTCCTTCTCGAGTTGGAAAGAAAATTTGGGATATTCCCCGTCAATAACTTGTATGGCATTTACAAAACCATAATTAGCGCAGTATACCGTTGTCTCTGGTATACTAATCTTCTTGGCCCATTCATACACAATTTGGTACATATCCAGCCGGTTTATCACACTCTGATCGTCCCGATATGTACTAGCTTGGTCATGTGTTCGGGTGGTTTATCTAAGAATCTTTCACTGACTCTGTAACCGTGGGGCGTTGTGATAAATAGGGTGTTTCAGGTATCTTTGGGAGCTCTGGAGTACTTAGCATATCAGCTTTATCGTTAACGTCAATTAATTTGTTGATGGAATTCTCTCTGGATCCAGCTATTTCTTGCAAAGCAAACCAAGATGTGTCCTAATCTTCATTACGTCGTACGTGGGCTGTATAAACTCCCCATACTGGGTGTCATTTTAGATTGAGGTGTGAAGGCTGGTAATCTAACAGTTAACATGCAACCTGTGCTATTCAACACATGCATATTCGTAACTTCAGCGCTGAGTTCCGCTAGGATGTAAAGTCCAATACTGCCCGTGCGCACAGCTATTTCTTTTTTCGTTTTATTGTCCTGACTGTGTCTAATTCTTATTTTTTTTAAATCATTTCATGTTTATTCAGCTATAGAGCTATGACACATAACCGGTACTATGTATACATGTTGGATGACTCTTTTGACGTTAGAGACACTCATACTCTGGATTTCATTTGCAAATACCACTATGAGGTATGCTCGCTAACACAAACAGTCGACCCTCCTCCGTAAGTAACTACCAAAGGGAATTTCGAAATCTTTGGTTATCCAAGCATGCCTTCGTCATCCATGCATACCAGCGCCGCGAGAAATGTGGTTGTGTTTTGCCGGATTGGAAGCAGCGATCTACTGTCCCAGGTGGCATATGTGTTCAAGCTATCCAGACTTGGCTTGGCAGACCGGCCAAGACGATGTACCACCGCACCATCCAACCATGGCGGCGTTTATAGTGACGCCCGCACTCTCGCAATCGAAGCCTTGGCACGCACAGAGCTAAATTTGTAAAACCCCTTGCCAAATTTCGGAATTTGACGCCCTTCAAGGTTATATTCTTCTTTTGCATCATCTTGTCAACTTGTTCTGAAATCTCTCACGCCCATCCTAAAGAACTGCCTTCCAGATTTGTGCTCCACGCTTTGCTTCCTCCGTCGGGTGTAAATATCGGCGTTTGCGTGTATTTGGTGACCAGCTGAGGCCAGAGAAAGTCGACAAGAGGTGTGGTAATTGGAATGAGGATGTACTAGGTCGTACTTGTAGACTTGATGAGAGTTAGGTAGGAATCGATTTCGTTGAGAGTGAAAGATTGATGTGGTGTAGTATTTTGAATTTTTGCCTCGTGGGCCAACTTCCTTGATATTGCGAAATTTGACTGAACTTAGATCTGGGAGTATATATCACTCCCAGGCTCGTAGAGAACACTGCATACAGGTGATCAGTTTGGCCATCCTAAGTCTGAGTCTATGTTTATATAGGACATACGGGTACTCTCTACCTACAGGCCAAGGATACCTATACCAGTAGTATATCTCCTCCTTTGCCTCCCATACAGCTCCCCTCAGACAGTACCACCCCTCACAAGTCCTCATTCGATCATACACTTAGAGGAGCCCTTGGCCCTTCATTATCTCCCCTCTCCAGCCAACAAAGCGATGGTCATTTGCGGGTGTATGGCAGCCGGAAAAATTCGCAAAAACCACTAGGTGTGGAGCTCTTCTAATACCGACATTAGGACTGAATCCGAAGACATAGTGATCCTTCTGATGCGTTCGAAGAGGCCGACCAGCTGGGCGCTGCAGACTTGTGGGTACCTCGGGAAATTCACACTCTGCCTTTCTAGCCTCCTTCCAACTCCTTCCCGAAGGTCGTGTCGAAATTTCAGAAAAGTCTTAACAGAGCGTGATTGCTGTATTGTAGCTTAGTCCGACTTCTTTTGTACCGTCCAAGGCGCTGGGGAGTGCCATTGACTCATCGACAAGAAAACTTCTGGCTAATAAGCCGAAATATCGGATTTGACGCCCACAAACGTTCCAATGTCGAAAACATGTTGAAAATATCAGACCTATTATTTTCACAGGACATCTCTTCCTTGTATTTACACGCCCCTATCGTCTGTCCTTCCTCCAAATTTATAGGCCCATAAGAGCAACAGTTTCCCGTAAACCATGACGCCAACTTCGTATATTATGGCTTAATTTCCTCCTTGCGGGTACACGTAGCGTCGTAAATTTGTGGTGAGTCATACACAGCTGTGTTGAGAAACGGTGGGGAAAGCAGTAACATCTGTACGCGATGTTTACCACTAACCTGATGGTGAAATATTCTCTCACAGGCAAGTTCATTCCATTTTCGCCGTGCAAAATAAGATTGCCCAGGAGGCAATGAATCAAGATACTCCGCCATCTCCATATTTCACTCCCAAAGAGATCGATAGCTGTGTAAGTCTTTCAAAGTCTGCAAGTACGACCAAGTACATGCTCTTTTCCATGGCCACACCACTTGTGAATTCAGTTTCAGGCCCCAATTAGCCTTCAAGTCAACGCCCAAGAAATGAAGTCGTGGCGTACAAGTTTTGGAGGCAGTTCTTTGGGATATAGACAAATAATTAAATTATTCATTTTACCTGGTTCGGCGCCTTGAGGCCCATGCAGGTTTTTATGGGAAAATATGTACCACGAGAAAGACGACTCAATTTGACGTTTTGAACGCTCACACTTAGATTTCATTTGCAGATACCACTCGAGGTTAACCCTTACGGCGTATAACCTCTTCCGTGCATACCCACCACAGGGAAAAGCGTGAAAAACCTGTGGCTATCCGAGTGTGCTTTCATCATCCCACAAGTACAATCTCACCGCGAGAGAGAGTGGTGTGTAGGTCTGACTGGATTCGAACCAGCTTTCTCCTGTCTCGAATGGGGTAGTTGTTCAAGCTACCCAGTATCTACTTGGGAGAACGGCCCGGATGGTGAACCACTGCACTATCCAACCCTCTTTGAGATGTACTAGAGGAAACTAGGACAAGTTTACAGTATGATGCAGTTGATGGGTGAGAGGTCTGGATATTTTGCAAAGAGTTTTACGAATTCAGCTTTGTGAGCGCCTAGCTTTCGATGTAAAAGTATAGCTGATACTTGAAAGACAAGTCAACACTTGGAGGTGTCGTAGTGTGCCTCCTGGTGATGCTCTCTGGTATAGTTTGAGTAGCCTGGGCACCTACTCGACCTGGGAAGGAGACGCCTCAAACCATATATCGCGCGGAGAAAAATCAGTGAATGATGGAGGCATATCTAGATAACTCAAGGTTTTTGAGACGTTCACCTGGTTGGGTATTCACGGACAAGAGTTGACTTGGGGTGAAGAAAAAGGCGCCAAAACTTCGTAGTGGTGTGTCTGTGTCGTTTGTTGTGCTTTTTGAGCCTATGATCATCTAATACATAGGGATCCTCTCTGATCGAGATTACACCTTCTACAGTGCTCCTATCCTCGTTTATTACTTGAAAGATCATTGATCAGTTACTGTTAAGCAAAGTTATACTAATATGAATCTCTCTCAGAATTGATTGAATTAATTGTCCTCTCCTATGAGGAATCTATCTAGGTACTTTATACATCTTGAGTATACTACTAATTCCAAATATAGACTGACTATTAGATTGCCCATACGAGCTGCACAAATCTCCGTTCCATACATGGTTCTGGGGTTGGATGGTGCAGTGGTACACCATCCGGGCCGTTCTCCCAAGTAGATACTGGGTAGCTTGAACAACTACCCCATTCGAGACAGGAGAAAGCTGGTTCGAATCCAGTCAGACCTACACACCACTCTCTCTCGCGGTGAGATTGTACTTGTGGGATGATGAAAGCACACTCGGATAGCCACTGGGTTTTCACGCTTTTCCCTGTGGTGAGTATGCACGGAAGAGGTTATACGCCGTAAGGGTTAACCTCGAGTGGTATCTGCAAATGAAATTTGAGTGTGAGCGTTCAAAACGTCAAATTGAGTCGTCTTTCTCGTGGTACATATTTTCCCATAAAAACCTGCATGGGCCTCAAGGCGCCAAACCAGGTAAAATTAATTATATATATACATGGTTTTGAAATTGTCTGTTACATTATCATGGGCATTAGAGAAATTGAAATAACAAGCGAGTTGTGCGTAGGAAATTGGCCATCCGTCTAGTCGCTAGTTGTAACATTTGCATGACTAAGTTATTGCTCTTGATGCATCAGCCGCGTTTACTTGCTTGTAATCTGCTCAACTTAAACATCATTATACAATATTTAAATTTAGGGTAGTCTGTTTGACAATTACTCATGATTGATATCCATTCAGCTCAGTATTGACCCATGGAATTCAGCCACCTTTTCCATAGAACCTACTGCCCAATAAAAAATAGTAGCATTGGAAATTGAGTGCGCGGAAAGGAGTCTCAAAAAACTTGCAGCCCCAGCCAAGCGAGGCCTAGATGATAGTCCCCCTACCTCAAAGTGATATTTTCGTGAGATACAGAGTTTCAGCGTCCCTAACGTAAAAAGAGTCATGTTAGATCAAGAGTGGCTAGTGGAAATGGTAGATAGGGGAATGAATTTGTATATAAGAAAGACGTTGTAG